GGCCTCCCGCCTGGAAGCCTCCGGGAAGGCGCCGACCCGGAGGGGTTGGGGTTTGCGCCTGCATCGCCCTCGGGGTATGAGGGAAGGGTAGAGAGGCAGCGTTTCGTTCGTTAATAAACCTTTATTAGCAGTTACAGTCTTGGAGAAATTCTGATGCTGTGGAGTTTCACACTTAACAATCTCATAAATCTCGTCAAAAAATCTCATTAGAAACAATCTCCTAAGACAGGAATTGATCTTACTGCTGCAGTTGCTATGTGAGCACCATAACACTTGCTCAGATGTAGCAGTGATAAGCCCAGAGGTTTTTACTAAATTTGCAAGCAGCAGTGTCTAGCAGAAGGAGCTCTTGGTCAGGGAACACGAGATGTTTGCGCCATTGCTGCACTCTCTCTGGGTTTGAAGATGTTGATGGATCTGGAGTCACTGAAAGTGCTGCTCGAACAGGCAGAACGTTTAGAAGCTTGACCTCGGCTTCCTGGTTGTGAACGTGTTGAACTTCTATGTTAATAGAGCATAGAGAGCTTTCTTTGATACGCCAAGTCCAAATAGATTTTAATTATTAACTCTGGAATAGGTGTTCTTTTTTGTTCTTTTTCTTCTGAAGCAATTAAGTGTCTGTGATATGCTAACAGCTTTCACCTTTTGTATGTAAGTATGTAATTAACCTTAATACAAATAGCCCTTGTGACAATGGGAGTAACTCTGGGCAAAGGTACTTCATTGATTAAGGCCTAAACTTTCAGGGCTGGGGTTTTTTTTGTTTGTTTGGGTTGATTGTTTGTTTTTAGTGCCCACAGCAGTTGCAGGTAGTTCAAGAAGACACTGCCAGCATTGGTATTTTAAAATGCCAGCTATGTGTATTCTTAAAGGTTACAATCCTGGAGATACCTGACCTGGCTTAAATCGGGCTGTGGGTCTATAAGCTAAATCATCTTTGCAGCCTGTCTGCATGCAGTGGTACCCTGTACTCCTTGGACCGCCCGCCTAATGCTCCCTGGGTTGCGCAGGCCTGGTCTCCACTCCTGCCTCTTCTGCCGCCTGTGGCTGCTGCCACCAGTGATGTGATCAGCCTTGTTTGGTTGCTGTAGTCCTCGTCCTTCAGCCCTCCGCTGCAGGGATTGCACTGTCAAATCGTGCATCCGCACCTGTAACAGGATTTGTTTAAAAACCAAAATGAAACAAAAAAACCCCAAGAGCCAAACCCACTCTTTTAGTGGTTAATGCCACGCTGAGTGGAAAGTTAATACAAGACCTGATCATAACCTTCTTTTCGCTTAAATTTCTGGTACCTCAGAAGTGGGGCACAAAGAAGTCTCTTTATTCTGTGAACATCCTTATCTGAACAGTGCCAGAACAATCTGCTGGGGAAACGGAAAACAATTTACTGTGTCATTTCTTACCACGAATGCAGGGTGGTCTAGGGAGCTGAATTAGTCCCAGGGCACTTAGAGGTAAGGGCTACATCTCAGTTTCAGTTTGTGTGTCAGCAGCTTCTGATTGCCGTTAGGTGATTACGGTAACCTTTGGCCTGATTGTGTAGCAGATCATAGCCGCCCTCCTTGGAAGAGAGCGCAAGAATGTCTTTAGCTGTAGCGGCTGGTGCGTACTTCCTCGTGTGTCTGTGATGGGACTAGCAAGCCTGAATATTCCGTACTCAAAGCCAGAACCGTCTTTACCTTGTGTGTGTGCCAGAGCCGTGCCAATGCTTCTGTCTTTCTTGGACAATACAGCCGGCAGCATTAACTCAACACTTAATCTTCTTGCTGTGATTAGTGGAAGGTGAGACCTGTAGCACTGGTCTGATGTATGACCTGTAGGAGCAGTTAGCTCGGGAAGCAGCGAGAGTGATGCAGAACCGTCAGCGTTGTGTACTGTCAGCGTCCCTCATAATTATAGGTTTGAAGAAAAGAAGTAACGGTGCAGTGGTGATGTGGGCTGAGTGCTGTACAGGAATCTTGCTGGTACTGTTTCTGTAAGGGAAATCGTTACCCTCCTGGCACACGAAGTCTTTGATAGCCCAGCACCGGAGCTGATTCAGGCATGGTGGCAAACCCTCATGTTACTAGCCTGTGATAGCAGAATAGATCTCCACTTGCCTGTTTCCCTTTGAGAGCAACAGTCCGTCTGAGCTTTAGTTGCCTTAGTTATGCCTGTAGCTAAAAGTTCTTTCATCAAGAGTCTGTAGTCTCTTTTGGTATAAATCTAGTCAGATAAGGGATCTGCTTTAAAGAGTAACTTGGAAAAGGTTTTGGTTATACACTCTCCCTTTCCCCACACCAGAAACAACTTGAGATCATGAGGCTTTCCCTGTTAACACCAAGGGCGTGCCTGATGCATCAGTGGCCGTTGGCTTTGGCAAGGCTCTAGGTTTTTACCTGTGTCGAGTATGGTGTGTTGTGGCCTCTAGAAATAGCTACCGAGCAAGGCAGAGGCTTTTTTTTTCTGGGATAGGAGCAGGAATTTTTTTTGTAGAGAACTCCCTGCTTTCTTAGCACTTAGGGCAAAGGTTTTCCTGCTGCTTGATCTGTTTTTTCCAGGAGGGAGGGGAGAGTAAGGGATTGGAGAAAACAACCCTCCTCCTCTTCTTGCATGGTTTACTTCATTAAATCATCAGCCATCAAGCTGATAGTGTACTTGCTAAGGTCTCATTCTGCACTGGCGTGCTGAGGCAGCAGGGCGTAGGAATGAAAATGGTTCCCGAGCGTGTTGGTAATCTTACTCTTGTCCTCTCGTGGAAATAGTAGGGCTGTACGGAGCACACAGTAAAATGCCTGTATAGCCTGGCCTGCCAGCGCAGTTGATCCCACCAGCAGAGAGCACTGATGGTGAGTTACAGCTTTAACTCTCGCTGATCGCGACACTTTTCTGAGCTGGGCGTGCACTGTGCCTCAAGGTTTGTGTGGGAACAGGCGGCACTGGGCTTGGTGCACGAGCGGAGGACTGGTGTGAGCTGGGAGTCAGGCAGAGGAGATCGCCCTTGGTGTGGTAGGTGCAAAGTCCGGGCTTGCTGTGTCACCTCTCTGGTTTCTGTTGGGTTGGTGTCGGCTCCCCCAGTAGATCCAGCGTGTGATAACTGACGGGCTTGCTGTCGAACCAGTGCCTGGTAGTGTGGCTATGGGACCTCGTCCAGTGTGCTTCTGCTCCAGAGCTTTCTCTGAGCGCTTACCTGTTACATCTCCTGTCCTTTCTGGGAACGCACACAGCCTCTGTGCGTGGAGGCATGCTTTATTTTTACCCTTACATCCAAGCGCATTTCACAAGCAGCTGGATTGCTCTGTGTGTGTGTTTCTTTTGCCTGTTGCACCCTGCTCGAATGGATTAGGGCAATCTCACTCAGTTGTTCCTGGTGAGGGGATTCTCAGCCACCGTGAAACCGGGCTGGCAGCAGGCCGACGGCATTTGAGTGTGCCTCCTCTGCTCTGTGAAGAAGAGCTGCCAGAGGACTGGGAACCGACAGCTGTATGTGGCAGTATAGTCTCCTATGGTGTACTGGCTGTAAGGGAAAGCATGCTCAAAAGAGGAGATACGGTAGCCCTCAGTCTGGGGAATGCTGGAAATCATGTGAGAGCATGAGAAGCAGTGGTAGAGAGTGTCTTGTCCATTTTTAGGAAGAACTTAATAGCATGAGGTGTTCACAATGTCCTCTTCTCAAAGTTGCACTTACTTACACGGGCAGAACGCTTTTCACCTCTTTGTAGTTGGGGAAAACATGGTGAAGGGCAACCGCTTGACATTTATGTATGTGCAGCTATGGTCAGAGGTGAACAGCTGTGTCCTTGGTGTATACAGGTCATGCGTACTGCGCATTTAAACTCTGTCACTTCTGTGGCAGACAGTGCTGCTCTTGTAGGTGACAGTGCAAGACACGTTCCTTTCCTGGCACAGGTTGTGGCCCGATAGTCGGCTTCCATGGTCACAGAGTAAATCAGAGCCAGCTTGCAAACCCAGAAGCCCTGACCTGCAACCCAAACTGTTGCTGATGCTTCC